AGGCACCCGCCACCTCGCCCGGCTAGTTTTTTGTATTTTTTAGTAGAGATGGGGTTTCACCGTGTTAGCTAGGATGGTCTTGATCTCCTGACCTCGTGATCCGCCCGTCTTGGCCTCCCAAAGTGCTGGGATTACAGGCTTGAGCCACCGTGCCCTGCCTTTTTTTTTTTTTTTCTTTTTTTTTTAATAGAGCCTTGCTGTCACCCAGGCGGGAGTGCAGTGGCACGATCTCGGTTCACTGCAACCCCTGCCTCCTGGGTTCAAGCGATTCTCATGTCTCAGCCTCCCGAGTAGCTAAGATTACAGGTGCGCACCACCATGCCTGACTAATTTTTGTATTATTAGTAGAGGGGTGTTTCATTATGTTGGCCAGGCTGGTCTCAAACTCCTGACCTCAGGTGATCCACCCAGCTCAGCCTCCCAAAGTGATGGAATTACAGGCATGAACCACCACACCCAGCCAGCATCTTTCATTTTTCTGTCCACTTTGGCCCTTTCCTCTCTCACTGTCTTCCTTTTCCATTTCCAAAGTCAGTCCATCTCACTATTAGCACAAAAACTGCTAGAGCGCTCGTCATTGGTCATCTCTCCCTGCACCTGGCTGGTCTGTTCTTAGGCACTGAAGCGTTTCCCCCAGCTGTTGCTTTAATCATTTTGTTATCATGCCTTATGTAAGAAATGAACATGAGATGCATTTATGTGTCTCTTCCTGCCACTCTGCAGAGCCAGTAAGATGTGGTGGAAAGGGCCCAGGCTTTGGAGGAGGGCTGGCTGGGGTTGGATCTTGGCTGCTCCCTACTAGCTGTGTGACCTTGGGTAAGTAGCTGGACCTCTCTGAGCCTGGTTCGGAATCATAGCACCTCTCTTTCAGGGCTGCTGTAAGGAATAGCAGCGATTTGTGTAAAGCAGAGAGCACAGCTAGCACCTGGCCCCTAGCCACACTACAGAGCACTTACTATGATAAGCTGCCATTGTGGTGTGTGAAGCAAAGGGGAAATGCCTGCTGTAGTAAGCTTCCTGTAGGGCAGTTCGTAGAACCAGAGATGGGTTTCAAGGTTACAAAGGGACTCTTAGTGTATTAGTCCATTCTCACATTACTATAAAGACCTACCTGAGACTGGATCATTTATAAAGAAAAGAGGTTTAATTGGCTCACACTGGCTGGGCACGGTGGCTTACGCCTGTAATCCCAACATTTTGGGAGACCAAGGCCGGCGGATCTCTTGAGGTCAGGAATTTGAGACCAGCCTGGCCAACATGGTGAAACTCTGTCTCTTCTAAAATAAAATACAAAAATTATCTGGGCATGGTGGTGTGTGCCTGGAATCCCAGCTACTTGGGAGGCTGAGGTGGGAGAACTGCTTGAGCCCAGGAGGCGGAAGTTGCAATGAGCCAAGATCGCCCCACTGCACTCCAGCCTGGGCAGCAGACTGAGACTCCATCTCGAAAAAAAGAAAAGTAAAAGAACTGCAAGAAATAAATTGTTGTTTGTGAGCCATATGGTCTGTGGTACCTCGTTGTGGTACTGGGAGTCTTTTGTCTCCCTGACCCTGCCTGTTGCTGCAGCACCGCTCAGCCCTGCCTGCTCCCTACCTTCCTCCCCTTGGCCTCTCCTGCCTCCACTGGGCCCCTGGTGCCTCCTCTAGAGACAGTCCTCCTGGGACCAGTTGTGTTCTCATTTACACGAGGCATCCAGGACTACAGAGAACCAGAGGAAGGGGCGCCCGCCCGCCCTCCTCCCTGGCATCCTCACGCTGCAGAGGTCAGAGCCTCATCCCGGCCCCTTACCTGCCCCTACCCTGCAGAGAACTGTGGTCAGTTCCTGAGGCCAGATCCATGAACGGCCTTGTGGAAGATGGTGAGCTCACACCCAGAGCTGGCTCCGATGACCCTTTCTCCTTTACATGTTTCTACCTTCCCCTCGCTACCTTCCCCCACTGCCAGGCACAGAGTGGAGGCAGGTTGGGTTTAAAGCTCAGAAGGGCTTAAAGGGGGTGGGGCGCAGTGGCTCATGCCTGTAATCCCAGCACTTTGGGAGGCCAAGGCAAAGGATCACTTGAGCCCAGCAGTTCGAGACCAGCCTGGGCAACATAGTGAGACCGCGTCTCTACAAAAAATAAAATAAATAAAATTAGCTTGGCATGGTGGCATGCACCTGCAGTCCCTGCTACTCAGAAGGCTGAGGTGGGAGGATCACTTGTGCCCAGGAGTTTGAGGCTGCAGTGGGCTGTGCTGGCACCACAGCACTCCAGCCTGAGTAACAGAATGAGATCCTGTCTCAAAACAAACAAAAAAAGAAGGCTTAAAGGGGACTCCAGGTGGGCCTGGCAGCACAAAGCTATGAAGGTCTGTCTTAGACACAAGCTCTGTTACTAGGCCTTTGCACGCTGGCCTGGGTACCTGGCTGCCATAGACAGGGAACCTTCCAGATGAGCTGTAGGCGTGGAGCACAGGAGCCAGGGTGCTCTTCCTGGGCTGTGTCCACAGGCAGTATGTACACCGGCTTTGTACATATCCAGCGGATCCAGTGCATATTTTTGTTTGTGTTTTTCTTTTGTTTGGGGGGGTGGATTTGGTTTTCCCCTGAGTCCTCTGTCCTCCTGTCACCTGGCTGGTGCTCGGCAATGTTGACCAGCTGCCTGGCTGGAGTTGGCAGTGGCTGAGGCTGTGAGCTAACATGTTCCTGAGTCCTCCCATTTCTTCACCATAATGCCCTGTTGAGTTTGCAGATACTGACTCTGTTTTTATCTCCCAGGGAAACTGAGGTTCAGAGTGGCTAGGCCACCTTCCCACAGTCCCTCAGCTCATGAGGGCCACACAGGGCATTGAGGTGGCCTCCTCCTCAGCCTTGACTCTCTGGCCCCATCTTTGCTGCCTCAAGGGGTCTCCTCTCCTGAACTGTGCACCTTCTGCCTGGCAGCTCCAACTCTATGGCTGTTTTCAGTGGCTCAGCACTGCCCCTTGACCTTCCCTGGCCCTCTGCAGATGCCAGGCTGGAGCACTCTGGCAAGGTCTGGGGTGGTTGCATGGGTCCTGTCACCTCTATACACCTCCCAGTGCCTGGGAATCCTGCAGATACGCCCTCCTCAGCCATCCCTAACACGTAGAGGACATTTCTGAGGTCCCTGAGAGAGTGGGGCACCTCTGCAGGATCCAACTGCCGGGCCCAGGAAGGATAGCAGCAGCGTGAGGGGTTCCATTAGCCACAAACTCATGGCATGGAGCCTCCACCCACCTCGCCCCTCATCTGCTGTTTAGCACCTGGCACGCTGTGTATACTTACTAATTATTATATAATAATAGCAAATTATAGTGGCAAATGTATGCATCTTTGCACAGTTGTTATACAGCACGATGAGCAAGTCATTAATAGTAAGGAATAAATGTGAAGGTGAGAAAAATCTGACTGCCAAAGTTTTTACTCCTTCCTTCCCTCCCCAGACTTTTAAATGAAAGTTCAGGGATAATCCCTTAGTTGTCCTGGTAGTAGGACTCGTAATTAAAATAATTGGGCCAAGAACCCTTCTGTGCTTCTCCTTTTAGGTTTGGGTGTAAATTCGGGGTGTTTCTCACTGGCGAAAGCCTGGTGCAGGACAGACCCTGGGAAGCTTTCTCTTCCAGAAAGGACCATCAACATCCCTTGCAGAAGAATTCTCTTCTCCAGACTCAGACCCGGTGTCCTGGCACCCACTGGGCAAGTGGGTCCTAGAAGACAAACCTGGTCAGAGCTGGAGGCTGCTTAGCATTCCCCATGCACACTAGCAGCTCGGAGAGCTCAGGAAGCCGCAGCCCCTCCTTGCCTCACCAGCCTGGGTCAGGACAGCGTCCCCTGGAGGATGCACAGGGCCTGGCCTCTGGTCACCCAGCCTGGAGGGAAAGCTCAATCGAGCATCATGTCACCCGGTGCCCCCATGCAGGGTGGCACTGGTGAGACCCCCAAGCCAATGATACTACCTCACAGGAGTGCGGGCCCAGTGTGGCCAGATCACCTTGACTTTTCAAGATAAATCAGAAATCGTATTTCTGTGAGATATCCCTATTTTCCAGTGATGGTGACTAAATTAGAAGTTGTTGAATTTTGTAACATGCTCCTAGGCTGTTTGTCTGGTTTAAACTCTATCTGGAGGAATTCAAGCTAGACTTCAGGAATAACTTCTTGAGGCAAGGGTTTTGAGACCTTAGGGAAACAGGGACGTCTTGGGGGTATTCTGACTGTTGTCCTCCTGGAAGGGAAGAACAGGGAACTAGAAGATTGCCCTTAGTGAAGTCCAAAGCACCTAAACCCGGGACCCTCGGCGGTGTTCTTAAGTCACAGATTCTCCCTGAGGCCTCTCTCTGGCTCCATAGAATGGCTGATTCTGTAACTCTGTGAGTCTTTTTTTTTTGGAGACAGAGTCTTGCACTGTCACCCAGGCTGGAGTGCAGTGGAGCTGGAGTGCCGTAGAGCAATCTTGGCTCACTGCAACCTCTGTCTCCCAGGTTCAAGCAACTCTCCTACCTCAGCCTCCCAAGTAGCTGGGATTGCAAGCATGCACCACCACATCTGGCTAATTTTTGTGTTTTTAGTACTGATGGCCCAAAGTGCTAGGATTACAGGCATGAGCCACCGTGTCCAGCCATAACTCTTGTTATGTAACTCTTGTTACAAAGGCCTTATATTTTGCTCTTTGAGGTTGGTTTTAGTTTGATGCCTGTTGGTTGCCATCTTTTAACTAGGGATGTTTTATCAAAGTACCCAACCAAAGTATCTAAACAAATTATACTTTAAAGTTTGAAAATGTCCAGCATGTCTAATTGAATGCCTGTTGTGCCAGGCACTGGGCTGCTGAGGAACTGAGTCCCATCCCTGGAGGCTAGCTAGAGAACACACACACACACACACAGTGGTCTCATAAGTCAGTTTTATATTCTACCTCTATGCAATAAGGGTATTATTATGTTGAGGTACTTTGACATAAAAAGTTTTTCTTAAAGGAGAGGATGCCTAGAACAGGCATTACCTGAAGCCTCCTCTCTCCAGCATTGGTTGTCTTCTGTCACGACTCAGGGTTTTTCATTGAGAATGGGATGGAAATGTGGTCTAAATATAGGGCCCATGTTGGGACTGGATCCCCTCTGGGAAGTCAGACCAGGCTAGGGCAGGTCCCTGGAGTCATCAGGAAAAGCCTCTGGAGCCAGAAACAAAACAAAACAAAAAAATGATGTTAACTAAACTCAGTCCCAAATCCTGAATTGGAGTCAGGTCAAGCAAAATAATCAAAGGAGTCAGCAAAGGGCAAGTCAGAGAGACCAAGTGACACCAGCGTCTTCCCAGGAGCCCTGTGGCGAGTGACAGAGCCTGGACTCTGGAATAGGACTCATCTTGTGTCTCCTGCCACTCATTAGCTGGGTGACCTTGAGCCAAGCCCCTTAACCTGTTGGACCCCATGTTCTTACCTCTAAGTGGGGGCTGGTAATATCTTCCCCTTCAAGGAATGCCCTCTAAGGGGTGTTGTGAAGATCAGGTAAGGTGGCAGGGGTGGGACTCCTGGCCAGGAACAGACGCATAATCAATGCTAAATCTCTCCTCCTCTCCACCTGCTGGATGCTGCAGATCCTAAAGATTTCAATGTGAATAAGACAAAACCCCTGCCCTCCAGGAGCCTTTGAGAATCAGAGAACTAGACCCATTTACAGAACAAAGGGATGCAGAGTCTGGATGAAGTTTTGGGGATTCATAGAGCAGAGGGCTACCCAGCCCCAGTCTGGACATCGCTAGGTCAACTGTAGCCCCTCAGTGGCTGATTTAGCCCAGAGGATCCCATAGGGTTGACTCCTAACTCAAGGGCATGAGACAACCCCCAGGAAAGGCACTGTGGAAAGGGTCTAGCTGTCCCTGATTTACCTGTGGGCACTGGGGCAATGCCCTCAGGGCTCTGTGTGGTTCTGGGTTCCTCCAGTAAAAAGTAATCAAATTCTTTCACGTTAATGTCTTTCTCCACCTCATTGCACATCATGCAGCTATTCATTGACTCAGCAACTATCAGCTTTGCATGCAACCTTGGCCTACCCGCTTTAGCTTTTAGTAATAGCTCCCCTCTTGAGTTACACAAACCAGTGGGGAAACAGAACCTAACTCTTACCTCTGGGAGGGTTATTTGCTTTGAGAACATCTGTCCTGCAGTTTCGCTCATATGGCAGTGAAGTTTTGTGCACACACTCTAGAGCCAGGGAGCCTAGGTTCAAACCCCAGCTCTGCCAGGTCCTAACTGCATGAATTTGGGCAAGTCACTCAACCTCTCCATGCTTGAGTTTCCTCATCTGTAAGATTGGAGCAGTGGTAATACCTGCTTCTTAGGGTTCAGAAGAGAATTAAATGAATTAAGATGGGTAAAGTGCTTAGAATGGAGCGTTGCAAGTAGTAAGTGCTATGTAAGTGTTTGATTTAAAATGAAAGACCCTTAAATACATTCTTTGTGCATTTCAGAAGCCCTTCATTTTGCATTTCTTTTTTTTTTTTTTTTTTTTTTTTTTTGAGATGGGGTCTTGCTCTATCACCCAGGCTGGAGTGCAGTGGCACGATCTCGGCTCACTGCAGGTTTCACCTCCCGGGTTTACGCTATTCTCCTGCCTCAGCCTCCCGAGTAGCTGGGACTATAGGCACCCGCCACCACGCCTGGCTAATTTTTTTGTATTTTCAGTAGAGATGGGGTTTCACCGTGTTAGCCAGGATAGTCTCGATCTCCTGACCTCGTGATCCTCCCGTCTCAGCCTCCCAAAGTGCTGGGATTACAGGCATGAGCCACTGCGCCCGGCCTCATTTTGCATTTCACAACCAAGCAGTCTCCCCTGGAATCCAGCCATAACTCTGCTCACAAGTGTGAGACAGGCCCCAGCAGAGCTGCACGAAGAGGAGAGAAGGCAGCCCCCCAGGTCCCCAACTCCCTGTCCAAGATGGCAAAACCAGAACACAGCCTCCTCCCTACCCCAGCAGGAGTTCAGAATCTGCAATCTCCAAAACCCACTTCAATTTTAAGTGTAGAGCCAGGTGCGCTTTTAAGTCACCTGTCACTCTGGAGGCTCTTTTGCTCAGTTCCTCACCATTAGCAGGGATGACAGGGAGTGCAGGAGTACAGTCAGCTCCCAGATATTGGAGCGTGCTGGGCCAGCTGCCCGTTCTCCCAGCCTCCACTCCTCTTTGCTGTCCAGCCATCACTTGCTCCTTGAAGGCTAACGAAACAAAAAACAGTGCCAAGAGCGTGGGAAGAAAGCCAGCTTCTCCCCTGGGGTAGCTGTGATATCATGCCCACCCTCCCTGACCACGCAGCCCCTGGGGACCCTCAGGGCCCCAAGCACCCATTTCCATTGCACATGTACACCCGTGTGCAGCCATGGCCGCCCATCTCAGTCAATAGGGCTGCTCCTGCCCACTTGGAATTGCGGTGACAACCAAGAGTGGCTTATGGGAACTATCCCAATGACCTGACAGCATGTCCGCTGCAAACCGCTGACGGGGGACACTGCCCTTATCTCTAGCTCATCAGCGAGAGGCACAGTTGCTTTCTTAGGTAACATTGCTGCTGTCTCTGGGCATTGCTGGGGGTTGGCACTTAATCTACACCGAATTTTTCCCTCCTGTATCTTCCGAGCTGCTTGGATCTTGGTGCTGAATTAGATTGGACTTTATCTTGTGGGGAAGGGAGGACTATAAACCCCCAACGTAAGCAATGGTCAGACTATTCTAAGGAAACTTGCCAAATTTAACATGAGGTAAATTTAGTTCTGACTTCTGTCCACCCCACTGCTACTGTCCCTTTTTATCCCATGATCCCTTGCTTTTCTTTTCCTTCTCTCTCCCTATCTCTTGGGTTCAACACATGATAGGAATTCAGAAATATATGTTTGCGAATTTGTTTATTCACGTAGCAAACCATTTCTTGAGTGCCTACCATGGGCCAGGTAGAATGGGCAGCCCCGGGATACAGTGGTCTCTACAGCCCCTCTCCTGGGTTTGTACTGTGCGAGATGATTTAGGATGGGTTCTCCCATCAAGGACCACAGTCTTCTTTCTCTGTGCCCCTTGGTCCTCAGTCTCTGACCCCACTTCAAAGGCAGCATTCACTCAGGGAAGCTCCCATACAGTGCTAGTCAGAGTAAAAGTTTGGACAAATTGCCAGGAAGCAGCTTGTCAGTATGCATAAACAGCCTTAAAAATATTACTACTCTTTGACCCAGAATTTCACTTCTAGGAATCTGTCCTAAGGAAATAGTCACATGCAAAAGATTTATATACCAGGATGTTCATCAAAGTGTTGTTTATAACAGGAAGTCTCAGAAGCTGGTTAAATATCCAACCTCTGGAAATGGTTATGCAGAATAGTATGTAGCTATTAGAAATTTATGTCTATGGGGTTTAAAATGTCATGGGAAAACACTTCTGACATAAAAGAGCATGATAATTATATATTTAACATAATCTTAACTATGTTTTAGAATGTACAGGAAGAAAGAAATGTACAAACATATTCATTGTGATGTCTCTGGTGGTAGGATTATGATCAGTAAGTGCTTCTGTCTTCATATTTTCCTGTGTTTGATAATACATGCATATGTTGTTCATAAAATAAGAAAAATTTTAAGTTTAAAATTGGAGTTGAAAAGTCTTTTTAGGCTGGGCGAGGTGGCTCACACCTGTAACACCAGCACTTTGGGAGGCTGAGGTGGTCAGATCACTTGAGCCCGGGAGTTTGAGACCAGCCTGGCTGACATGGTGAAACCCCATCTCTACTAAAAAATTAAAAATTAGCCATGTGTGGTGGCGAACACCTGTAATCCCAGCTACTTGGGAGGCAGAGGCATGAGAATTGCTTGAACCCAGGAGGTGGAGGTTGCAGTGAGCCAAGATCGTGCCACTGCACTCCAGTCTGGGCAACAGAGTAAGACTTTATGTCAAAAAAAAAAAAAAAAAAGACAAGTCTTTTTAAACAGTAGCAGCCATAACTAAATATAATCCATACTAAGCCCTGGATCAAATTTTTATTTATGTATTTATTTTATTCATTTATTATTTTTAGACAGGGTCTCACTCTGTTGCCTGGGCTGGAGTACAGTGGCATGATCATGGCTCATTTCAGACTTGACCTCCTGGGCTCAAGCGATCCTCACATCTTAGCCTGCCAAGTACATGGGACCACAGGTGCATGCCACCACACCTGGCTAATTTATTTTATTTTATTTTTTTAGAGATGGTGTTTACTATGTTGCCCAGGCTGGTCTCAAACTCCTGGGCTCAAGCTATCCTCCCACCTCGGCCTCCCAAAGTGCTGGGGTTACCAGCATGAGCCACTGTACCCAGCCCTCAAATTTTAAAAAATCTATAAGAGACATTATTAGACAATTAGAGAAATTCGCATATGGACTTATAATAGTATCAGAGTGTGTGGTATGATGGTTCTGGAGGGAATGGACTTTTTCTTTAAAGATAGGCTTTTCTATGCCCACCCTTTTACCTTGCTAACTTATCATCATCCAGGTTCCAGCAGAAACATTACTTCCTCCAAGAAAGTTCTTAAGGGTGCAGTATCTGCAGCAAATTCTCAAATAGCTCAGGAAAAAAGTATGTGTGTGGTATACACACACACACATATATATACACATACATACATATATTTTATGTAATTATATATGCAGAGAGTGCAAATGTTGCCAAGTTGAAGATTGGTGAATCTAGGTGAAGAGAATATGGTATTTATTGTATTATCTGTGCAACTTTTCTTAGGTTTGAAAATTTTCAAAACAAAAAATTGGAGGAAGAAGACGTGCCAGTCTACCCCAAGCCCTCCACTGGAATGCTGGAAATCTAAACAATGGCAATTTCATTTCTTTTCTGTTGTGGGCCAGTAGTCCTTAGATGTTGGGGAAGTGGGTAGTTGCTGGGGTGTGGTTGACTTAGGATGGAAGAAGCAGAAGTCAAGACTCCCAGGGTCAAGGTGCTTTGCTCTTCTGACCCAAGTGTGGGAGGCCCAGAGTCAGCGTTTCAAGTGTGCTAATTCAGCATGGTTCTGTTCACGGCCAAAGTCCACCCTGGGCACCTCTCTGGCAGCAATCTTGGGTGACTCTACTAAGGTCAGGCCTCCCTGACCCTATGTCTGGATCCCATACCTCCAACTCTCCCACTGTCTCAGGAACAGTGCTTAGCTTTTCTTTTCCCTCTCCTGTCTTCCTTGCCAGCATCTAGAAAGTTTAAATAATTCCCCTCTTTACAACAAAACAAAACATACCCCCTTCAGTAACCCACCCTAGCTCTCTTCTCCTTTTCCTAGCCAGATTTTTTTAAAAGCATCCTCAGCACTTTGGCAACCTCCATCTCCTCCCAGCATGCCCTATTACTGGAATCCAGCCAGGACTCAGCCCCAATCTTTCTACTCTAACCACTTGTCTCAGTTAACAAGGACAGGTTTATGCTGCAGTGACAAACAAGACCCAAATTCCTATGGCTTCACACATCTGGTACTACCTCATCTTCCAGCCTTAGGAGTCATCTTTTAGTTCCTTGAAAACTCTCTGCAGTTTCCTCTTGGGGCCTTGTCATATGCTATTCCCCTGGAAATGTTCTTTCCTATCCCCTCCCTTTCACCTTGCTAACTTGTGCCCATCCTTCAGGTCTCAGCAAAAACATCACTTTCTTGGGGAAGTTTTCTCCAATACCCACACTACACAGGTGCCCCTTTGACACTCCTATGACTTTGTGGCACTTATCTCACTTGATTTCCCACTGCCTTCCCCACAAGACACCTTTACAAGGGCAAGGACCGTACCACTGTACCTATTTCACTCACTGCTGTGGTCACCTGCACTCTGGCTGCCTACCTTAACTACACATTAGAATCACCTGAGGAGCTTTTAAAGCCACAATGTAAGACTCCACCCTAGGCCAATTGGATCCAAATCCCTGGGGTAGGGCCAGCCATCAGTGGAGATATATATATATATATTTTTTTTTGAGACAGAGTTTAGCTGGGACTACAGGTGCTCACCACCACACCCAGCTAATTTTTTTGTGTTTTTAGTAGAGATGGGGTTTCACCGTAAGCAAGGATGGTCTTGATTTCCTTACCTCATGATCTACCTGCCTCAGCCTCCCAAAGTGCTGGAATTACAGGCGTGAGCCACCATGCCTGGCCATCAGTGGATATATTTTTAATGTACTGCAGGGAATTCTGTTGCATCAGCTTGAGAACCACTGATCTGCCTTGTGCTTCACATTTAAAACTTTTTTTCTAATGAATAAATAAACCCCTGAAAAAATTAATCTCCCTAAGCCTCCCTAGAAGATAGGATGGTAAGGATATTTTCCTAGGTAAAAATATGTTAATTTCATATTTCATGAAATTTCATGTTTCATTTCAATCAAGCTCTGTCATACACCTTACATGGGGCAGGCCCAGTGCCTGAGCAGGGTGTAATTATTCAGGCAAGGAAAAGTCACATTAGGTGATGGAGCACAAATAGGCAGTTAATGGTTT